ATGGAAGATCAACCGCAGCTGATACCCAGGAATCTGAAGCGTCGCTCTAGACAATCCACCATCTACCTCGGCGTCCGACGCAGGCCGTGGGGGCGCTATGCTGCTGAGATTCGAAATCCATACACCAAGGAGAGACACTGGCTGGGAACCTTCGACACAGCGGAGGAAGCGGCATTGGCTTATGATCTTTCGTCAATCTCCTTCAGTGGCATCGAAAGAGCTCGCACCAATTTTTACTACCCTTTCTTGACTCCTCCACCTCCGCCTCCGCCACCGCCACCTCCACCTCCCACTCCACCACCACCACCTCCGACGCCGGAGTTGGAAGAGATTGACCACCAGTACCCGGAGCTCGGTAACATTGACGACGATGAGTCGATGACTATTGCTGCCATTTTACAGAGTTTCCGTCATCCTAATACCTTCTCATCTTGTTGAGTTATGTAGATGGAAGTCGCCTTGATGAGTTGAAAATGGATTGATAAGAAAGAACTGTTTGATGCTTTACGTTTATCCCCTTACGATTTACATGATTACATCTTTTCTTGATAGATCAAATCATCAAATGTAGTGTTACGCAGAGTCACTGAGATGAGAATATGAGATAATGAGTTTGGGTTTTGGATGTCTGCCTATGGGTTCCGTAGGCTGGGCCTTTTTATTAAACAATACAGCCCAAAAGAATTCTCGGGCATGCCAAGCTAGCTTCAATCTTGGGCTGAAGGTCGCCAACTCATAAATTTCACTGTTGAAGCTCAATTACCTGTATCGATCCTAAGAGGATTGGTCTTGTGGAGTTCCATAACAAAGGCTAGACTGTGCTGGGCCTACACACTGCCCAGCCCATGTGTCAATATTGGTTGGATCTCATTGATCATTTGGCCACATATATTTTATCATTCAGGCTTGGCTTCCCCTAAAGACTAAAGTAGCCCGCCCCCCCACCTAGTCCACACACAGGGGGCAGCGTAATTAGATTTTAAGATAATGGTGCGAATGATTTCTCGGTCAAAAATATTTTTCAATTTTCTGCGGAAAGTTATTTGGGCTGTTTAGTTTGCAGGAATGTAGTCTGGAATCGGGATTGGAATGGGTCATTCTGATTCCAACTGTTTGGTTGGGCGGAATTGAAATCTTATTTTCATTCCTAGTGGAATAGCATTCCCCCATTTGAGGGGGAATGGTCATTTCTTCCCCTTCCCTTGAAAATGGAATCTCATTCCAGTTGATTTTAATTCTCATTTCGATTATTGTTTAAACCAAATATATTATAAGAATAGAACATTCCGATAATTTTGATTCCAATTCTGATTACAACTGTGAACCAAAAGGACCCTTAGTTAACTTATGTCTTTAAAGAAAATTTCTTGATTGGAAGACTTCTCATGGATTTCAGAAAGGGAGCATTGGATTTCCAACAAGACAACGCTGTGTTTTCTGAATTTATTTTGCTAATAGTTTGGCTCCTTATTAGCTGCATTAATATCCTTGTATTCATTTTCCTTTACCAAACTTTTTTCAGGCACTTGCAAAGAATTAGCTTGGTCTTATATTGGGGCCCATTTAGATTGCGGGAATAGAGGTACGGAATTGGAATTAGAATGGTCCATTTTGATTCCAACCGTTTCATTAGGTGAAATCAAAATGTGATTCCCGTTCCTGATGGAACAGCAGGAATGACATCCATTTTGAAGGAAAGGCCATTCCTTCCCCCTCCTTTGGCAATGAGAATCCTATTACAGTTTTTCAACTGAATCAAGCAAGCATGGAAATAGACCATTCTAATTTCGATTTTGAAGAATTCTGATTGGATTCTGATTTCAATTCTGACTGCGACTAAATGGCTCCGTAATTCTTGATGCCTTTGTAATGAATTAGATTTATCAAGATTGAATAAAAATCAGTATTTCAAAATCAAATTTATATACCACCCTGGGAGTTGGACAGTTGACCCTGCACGGGCACATATCATTGGGTTGGATTAGAAATAAGGTTATTGAGGCCTCAACTTTCTGTTTCTCTCTTATTTTCTATCAAACCAAATATAATCTAAGTTGAGTAAAAACAATATCAGTGGTCCTTATGTAAATCATAATCAGTACATGTGGGGTTTTCATGGTGGAATAATGGAATCCATGTTTTGGATTTTGAGAGGGGGAAGGTTGGTCAATGGGAACTAAATGGGTTTTTAGTTCCCATTTACCAAGATACTTATGTTCTTTTCTCATATTTATGTGAGGTCCACGAAAAATTTATTTTTCATGGGTGCCATTTGCACGGGTAGGTGATATCCATCTCTCGGGTGGATAAATAAGACCCTATTTGGCAATGTTCCCACATGTTTCTATTCTTTTAGAAATTCCTGTCCCAGAACAAGAATTTTATTTCTTGTTCATTAGGAGTAATAAATACATTTGGCAAATTGTTCTTTGAGAACGAGTTTTTGTTCTACAAGAATAGAAATAACGTTTGGATAATGAAACTATTTCTTAGCATCAGTTTTGCAAAGGTTCATAACACATAACAAAGGACAGTCTTCATTATATTTAATATATAACAAAAGACATAACAAAACACAACGATGGGATTAGAGAAGAAACCCCATCCATTCGGCATAACATATAACCATTGATGGGATTAGAGAAGAAACTATACCCATTCAGCATAACATATACCAAATGCAAACAAAATAATATAAGAAACATGATTTCATTATCACATCGATTAGAGATGGTTTAAAACTCATCTTTGTGGTGGGAACAAAAACAAATTCATGTAAATCTAGTTAGAGAAAATGTGAGTTTAAAATAGAGCACGATACAAAACTAGGTACAGTGACAAGACAAGGTACCTATTGATGCGTTCCTAGCCGGAAATATCGCTGTCTGGTTGGAGACAAGGAGTCCCTCCTTCCCCTGAGATTTGTAACGACAAGTTGAAGGAGTTTATTGTCGAATGAAAATGTTTGGTAGGGCTTCTTTCTATCATTTAATGCAAAATACCCAAAATTTCCTTTCTCTCATGTGAGAGTTGTTAACACGTGTTTGTTAATAGGGGTTAACGTCGTGGGAACCGCACGTTCCTTAAGAACACATTCTTTGGGAGTGCTGATTTTTCACACCCAAAAAACACGTTTTTTGGATGCTGTTCTTATGCAATAACACCTTTTTTTTTGTTTCCAAATATGTTTTTGCTCTACGAAAACACCGGGAACACGCAAAACATTATTAAATAGGGCATAGCTTTCTTACATAAGGAAATAATTGCCAACACTTGAATAATATAGATGCCGGTTAAGTGCATTTACACTGGTAATTAACTTTTCAAAAAGCGAGCAGGGATATCATTTTCTAGAGACCATAAAATATCTATCACTTTCAGCTCAACCATTCTCCATTTTCTATATGTAATCATAAGCATCTCCAAGTCCCCACTTTGTTTTGGTAGACAGAAGTATATTTGATAGATAGATATGCACTTCTATTTGGTCTCTGACTGATGTGCCATTATGTAGAGGAATCTTCATTCATCCCCACCTTAGTAAATTTTTACTTCATCTTACAGTTGGGAAATAGTGACAACGGGGGTACTGCTATTATAATTGGGGGTCTTAGAGGTTTTAAATTGTTGTGACTTGTGAGTGTATCCCTGAAGTTAAAATTTGTGGATGGATTTCACTGAGACTTCCCTTGTTAGATACCAAATGCCGGACAGAAGTGCAGGAAAAAAAGTGCAGCAGTCTGGACTCCGTCGGTAGAAGAAAGTAGGATACCATTTGCCTTGATTGTTCGTAGATATATGATGATTTCTCAATTAATGCTACTAAGCCATTGAGCCGACACCTCTCACCCAATGCTGGCAGTTTTCGAACCCAAGAAAAAGCTTGAGATCATTAAATACCGCACTTACACTCATGGCAGGGAGTCATCTGCTTGCTGCAATTCTGCAACTTTTTACCTGCTCTCTATTTAAGACGTCACCCACCCAAACCCAACCCCTAACTCACCCAGATCCACTGGCCACAGCCCTCTGTTGTCATTCATTTCTTTGTTTCTCTCTACGTACCTTTTCGCTTGAATAATTTTCTTTAAATAAAATGATAAGTTAGGGATTAGAGAACTTGTGGCTAACAAAATTGATTTATGATAAGAATCTGTTCTGAGGATAAAGACAAAGACACAAGGATCCCGGGATAGGTGAAAGAATCAAATAAAGATAACTCATCCTCCCTGGTTACTGGTCCTACTAAGCTTTCGACATGCGTCCAAATAAAAGGATCAACATCTGTGAATCAATAAGCTATTACTTTATCCATGCCAAGAATCACCATTCTCATTTTATGTTTCTGTTTTAGTTTGATACTGAGAACTGTAACTTCATGTGGGCAGTAGTAGAAGACTTTGATAGAAACAAAGCTTGCCAACAGATTTGTTAGGAATCTGAAATCATGTCTCAACTTTTCTTGATTGATCGACCCTTATCATAGGCTCCTTCTGTGCACCTTGGGGACCCTCTACAGATAACTTATCCCAAATAGTGAACCACCTCATTTTCCTTGCCTCCTAGCGAAGATGAAAGAGCCAGGAATTGACCGCAGGCACTCAGGATCACGGGATAAGAACTGTTCCAAAGCTTACAGACCAGAGTTGCTACTGTTTGGGCTAGCTTGTTTTGGCACCGAATGAAGAGCAAGATCCAACTGAAACAAGGTCTTTAAGCTCTTGATAACAGCACATCAGCACCATTAGCCCATTGCAAAAGCAAGAAACGCAGAGATCAGACATCCAATAGGCCATCCCATAAACTTGATAATGTTTTGGCTTTTGGGTTCTCCTGAGAATCACACTCAGAAGCCGCTTTGATACTCAAGAAGCCTATAAGCAACACTGACGCTGCTCTAAAAGCCTTCTAACTTTCATGGGGGCTAAGAGATCGATTAGTTTTATGAAAATCAAATAATACACATCAAGTAGGTTGAGAAAAGATGATGAAACTGAAGCTTGTATAAAATAGATTTTGTATTTATCTGCTTAGCTCTTCCATTTCCAATAATACCACATATCCATACATATATACTTACACACTTCTTAAAGTCTTAAACTACTGTACATGTGGTAATAGCTCTCTCTGTTCTCTGCGCACCCGCACCCCTAGAACCAGGTGCCAGATCGAGAGAGACATAAACATACACATAGAAGGATGCTACGAGTCTAGATTTACTGAAGTTGTTTCCTTACAGAGCTAAGCAGAAAACAAGAAAAGCTGGTTGGTTCTACTAGTTGATCTGGCCACCTCTCCCACGGTTTATTTTTGGCGATTTAGCTTTCCGTCTCCTTGTGGACGTGGATGTTAGATCTCGCTGTTTGAAAAGATGAGAAAATTAACTAAAGATCTGTTCAACTCAACTCCTCACAGCAGAGCGAGAGAGAGAGAGAGAGAAGAGAGAGAGAGAGAAGAGAGAGAGAGAGAAGAGAGAGAGAGAGAAGAGAGAGAGACTTACATCAATTTGTTCTGTTGTTGGAGGATCCAATACTGTTTGAACATCAGATTTCTTTCCTTGTTGTGGAGGAGAGTCGTCAGAGGAAGAGTCCAAACCCAGGCACTTAAGAAATGCGGCTAAAGCTTGTACAAGGCAATTGCAAGGGAAATAAGAATAATAAGTTACTATGGTGCTCTCAGTCGTCACCACCACCTTCGCAGGAGACACCTCCATTCCTTCAATCTCCTGATCTCTTCTTCTTCTTCTTCTTCTTCTTTTTCTTCTTCTTCTTCTGCTTTTATATAGTGGGTCGGTGTGGGACACTGATTTGGTTCACCTGCGAGACTTTGTAATAAAAATAATGAACTGGGTTTTCAGTAGTCTATCTTATTAATTATCCTCAAAGGCTTAAACCCAATGCCTGGCTACTATTGCTCTTACCTTTTCAAGATCCAAACTGCGATCACAACTGGTCATCAACACGTGAAATATGACCTTATTGTTAGAGAGTGCATACCCTTTAGCTCCAATTTGATGTATAGATATATTTATTGTAAATGAATAAAATTATATTATTTTTTCATACTTATATTAGTATGGTTTTGTATAAATACTTTGGGCCATTTTTGGATCAGTCAAATTCAATGTCTGGACCCTGGCATATTGATATCTATATTCTTATTTTCTATCAATGGACTTGGATATTGGTGAAATCTGATCCAATCCAATATAAATCCAGAATGAATGGACCAATTCCAATCCAATCCAATAAATACTTTGGACCATTAATTAGTTTGGACTGGTCCAATTCAATATGCCTTATTGGTCCATCTAATCCATCCAAATTGATTTTGATTTGAATGGGGTTTGACCCAAAATTGGTCCATTGACACTCCTACTTACAACATTTTAACCGTTTTAGGGGTAAATAGGCCTAAAATTTACCTTGACCTATTTTTGGAAAAGAAAGTATAACTATAAAAAAAGATATATTGTACAAGACCAATGCACATATTGGGGTATATCTTGTTTGGGTGATGGTTGACTTGGCCAAGGATGCCATGTGGCAATCTCCGTGGCCGCCCTCCTCTCAGGCCACGTCGATGCCACGCATAATGGAAGACCATGACTAAGAGTATCCTACACAGACAAGGAAGCGAACTCCGTCGAGGAAGAGGAAACCTCCCAAAGACCTTGGCAGATGCCCTCATCTCGACAACCCCGGAAACCCTATCCTTCTAGGACACAAACGCTCAACTATAAATAGGTATTTCCTGCTCAAGGTAAGGGACTTTTGGATTGACACTCTTTGATTACCTACTTGCATTATCTCTTTGGCCCTAACTAGCGCTATTTCAACCTGCTCGGCTGGGCAACATCCTTCTCGATCCTACTAACTTGAGCATTGGAGCACCTACCTGGGGAACAACTCCTCGACCCTCTGACTTTTCTCCTGGTTGTAGATCTTGATGTGTGGCTTCGTCCTTCCACCTCGGCCTTGTCTAGTTGGCAGGACTATTTGACTGTGTCCTTGGTTTGGAACACCTCGGATCGGACAACATCAAATTGGCGCTATTTGTGAGAAGCATACAAAAAATCATTTCCCAAACCCCTTTCTGTGCATTCAAAGAAACCATGCCTAAGAACACATCCGACCGCTCTGGAGCCTGTTCCCCATCTCGGGGATCCCGCTCAGTTCGCAACTCCTTTCCATGGGAGCCCTAACATCAGACGGCGGTCGACATCCACATAGTTTCTTGCCATGCAACAAAAAGTTGACTATATCCTCACCATGATGGAGATGTTGGGACAACCGATGCATGCCCCCCAAGCCATTCATCCTACCGCGTAGGCGCCTGCCATGGTCGATCCTCGTACCGAGGACTCCAAAAGGCACTACACAGGTTGGCATGGGGCCTAGTCCGACCACAAGTGTTTGCAACCATCTCGGAGGTTTGACCCCCAGCTTGACCTTGTGTGTGCGACGCCCTTGGTGAATCACATCACTCCCACACAAGGATTCCAGTGCGAGAATGACTTGGCCAGCATGTGCAGTAGCCCCCAATATCGATATTCGAGTCCAGCTCAATCCTAGATTGACAGGCAACTCTGAAAGTAGAGAAGTCCATCAATGCGGCGCTGGCAGAAAGGGACGCCAAAATCAAGGACCTACGACAACGATTGGCCAAGTTGGAACACAGCCAAGTGGATCATAGCCCGGCCCCTCCGATGGCCCGACCAATAGAGAAACACCACTGTCAACAACACGCCAAAGATCCCATCTTCATCCAAGAGGTCGTTAATAACTTCCCCCATCCGGATGGTGACCTCGTTAGTTTGAAAAGTATGATGGAGCCTCGGACCCCAACGATCACATTGAGGGATTCAAGACGATAATGATGCTGTATGACTCCTCCAAGGGTCTCATGTGCAAGGCCTTCATCGCAACCCTCCACGGAGTCCCTAGGACCTGGTATGCCTCCCTTCCACCACGGTCCATTTCCTCCTGGGAGTAGTTGGAGACACAGTTCTTGGCTCAGTTCACCGCCAGACAAAGGCACTGGAAGACCTTGACCAGCCCCATGCAAGTGTATCGGAGGAAAGGAGAGACCCTGAGGGAATAATTGGCGAGGTTCAACGCCAAAACCCTTCAAGTCCAAACTCTAAACTAGTCGGTGGCCGTGACTGCCATCATGAGCGGGCTGCGCTCCTCAATGTTTAGCTTTCTTTGCAAAAGAACCCTTCGCCCAACCTGACCGCGCTCATGAAGCACACGTAGAAGTATATGAATGTCGAAGAGGCCCAATCGTTGCATAGGGAGGAGGAAGATCAGCATGGCCAGAAGCACAGAGACCATGATGGCCAAAGATTGGACCGAGACGCCAAGAGCCAGGATCATCGACCTAACCGCAGACTAAGAACTCCATCACCGACGTATCACAACTTCACTCCACTCAATGATCAGTGGGCTGAGATACTGATGCAAATCTATGACCGTGGCTTCGTTAAGTGGCTCAAGAAGATGAAAACCCAATGCAACAAGAGAAATTGAGACAAGTATTGCAATTTCCCCCAAGACCACAACTACGAGACTGAAAACTGCCACGACCTCTGCCACCACCTGGAAGACCTCATCTAACGCGGATACCTCTGTGGCTTCATCAACATAAAAGAACATAAACCCAGAGAAGAGCCACACCTCATCGATAAGCCCCCAGTTCGAGTTCCACTCGTTGGGGTCATTGCTGTCATCTCAGGTGGGAAGGCCATCAGAGAGGAGAACAACTAAGCACAGAAGACCCACACCAAAGAACTTTAGTGCCAGAAATTTAAATGTAGTGACGACAATCGGCGCTGAGCACTAATGGTGACTGGGTTGTACAACTCAATGAATAAAGAATGTTCCTTCAAGGGCAAACGACCAAATGCCTGCACAAAATCTGGCCAATCTCCGACTGCCGAACTCCACGTTGACCAATGGTCATAGCACGATGGAAACCTCGTCAAGGATAATGGTCGAGGCCTGGCAACCATCATGAGACCCGACCAACTACAAATGGTTTGAGGCCAGGACAAACCCTTGATGGGTACTGCGGGAACGACGTCCCTGCCATAGAATGGCAAGAGGACGGCCATCACAAACTCTGTGCATCCTTCCGACTTGTAGTCGGAGCAGAGCTAACTGAAGACCATGACTAGCCCAGTTAAAGAGCGTGAAGCTCTCCAAGCCTAGGTGCCACCGCACTCCCTGACAACGTTAAGAGCTTGGAAGCACCTCGACCAGCCTAAGACTGAGGCCACTAGGCCAAAGACCTTGGCTAGCGCAAGACTGAGGCTATGAAGCTAAAGACCTCGGCCGACAAGCATCAAGCCAAGCACCTTAGTCAACCTAAGACTACCACTAAGCCAAAGACCTCAGCCACAAAGTCGAAGACCTAGCCAACATGAGATTGAAAACACGAAGCCAAAGACCTCAGCAAGCCCAAGACCCTGGCCAGCATGAGACCGAGGCCATAATGACGAAGACCCCAACCACAACATCAAGTTTGAGACCTTGACTAGCCTGGGAACAAGTATAAGAGCACGGTGTATAAACCCTACCGACCAACCTAATTCTGAAGCGGAGCAACTTAGAGAGAAGAGAGAAGCAACACAAAATGTGCTTGGCAAAAAGACTAAATTTCCATTAATCAAGAAATTGATACAATGATTATAGGCCTGACATATTGGGTTGAATACAAAAATCCTAAAAAAAGGGGAAGAGACAACACATCAATTTTCCACTAGGGGTCCTTGGGACGCTCTGAGGAATTGAACGACACCGACCACCTCTTGGAATTGACGCATCACCTGCCACTGATAGAGAGCGAATCCCTCTTTCCAAGAGTTGATAGCGTAGTCGGCGACACCCTCCTCCTTTGCCCGAGCTATTTTCATTTCGACCTCCTTGAGCCCCTTCTTCAGCACCTCTCACACCTCTTTGAGATCATGGATGCGACCCTTCAGCTTGTGGACGGTGTCATCCCTCTCCTCGACGCCGCGCTTTAGCTCGGCGAACTCCGCCTTCAGCTGGGCATTCTCGATCTCTCTCGACTCATAAAATCGTTGCAGCTCATGAAGGCGGTCGACAAGGCTGACGATTGAACAAACTGACTCTAGGGCATTGAATAGTTAGTACAAAAGAAAATAAGAGAAACAAGGAAGAACAAGTAAAGCCAAACTTACCACCATGATTTGATGGAGAGCTACACTCTCAAGGAAGCTACTAGTGTGACTATTGGCTACCTTCCTAATACCGGGGAACATCACACCCCGGGCAAGCTGCTCGACCACCCCTTCCATCTCAAGGGTGTCCTCCGACCGAGCCCTCAGTCGAAGCATATTCTGGAGCGTCCCCCCTCTATGATGGCCGCCTGAGCTAAGTCGTGGCCTCCTCAAAACCAACCACCACGACTTCCTCCATCGACCTCGGCCTTTTTCCCTGTCGAGGCGTGTGAAGGGATGAGAGATCCATCATATGGATGGTCGAACCCTGCAGGTAGGTTAGGCGAAATTTCAAAAATTTCTCTCTCTCCCATGTGGGAATCACATTCCCTATTTTAGAAAACTGCATTTTAAAGGATCAATCTTGAACCTAAACCAGACTAGATCTGAAACCAAAAGGTAGGAGAAGGATATACCTGATACGGAGTAGTAGTAACCCCCAACAAAGGTGTTCACGCCCAAGGAGAATACCAAAGACTGCTCTCACTGAAGATGACACAATGTAGGGTGGAGCAGAATCAACAGGATGGTTATTCAGCAAGAACCGAAATCTTTAGCAAGAACTCGATGGAGGGCAGGTGAGCACA